CTCAAATAAATAAATAAAATCTTTAAAAAAAAAAAAAAAGCAAGACAGTGAGAGAGTGGAAGGACAGTTGAAGAGGGAGAGGGAGAGAATCCTTAAGCAGACTCCCTGATGCGGGACTCAATCCCAGGACCCTGAGATCATGACCTGAGCTGAAACCAAGAGCCAGCTGCTTAACCGACTGAGTCACCCAGGCACTCCCTTTATGGGCATCTTTGATTCAAAAATTAAAAAGGCTCATTGGAGGTCACAGTTAAACACTAACAAAGAATTAGGAGAACCCAATAAAATTACCTATGGGATTTTTATAAACAAAGCCAGGTACTGTATGTTTATGGAAGCTGTACATGAATGAATGATAATAAACATGTATGTGCAGGTGTATGTGCGTGTGCGTAAATACCTCCTAGTTATACCGTTATGCTAAGTGGATTTTGTTTTTGGTTTTTGGGTTTTTGCATGTAGGTTCTCCAGATACAGATTCAAGAAAAATTAATCAGGGATAGTCAAGGAAAAGTAGAACCTGTACCTGATAAGGAAAATAAAAAGCTGCTCTGCCGGAAGTGCAAGGGCTTTGCATGTTATACAGCTGACATCAGAGTGGTGGAGGTAAGCAGCCTTTGAGCAAAGAGCACTGGGTCATTTTTTAGCACTAATCAAAGCTTACTCTCTATTGGTGAGATATTTATAGTAAGAATATTATTATTTTTGTTGTTGTCATGGCCATGATATTTTAAAAAGCCAAAAAAGTTTTGAAACCCTTAACAATGAAGAAGAAGCAGCTACTTAATTAAATATTATGTAGCCACTAAAAATAATGGTCATGCTAAATGAATGGGGTATCCTGGGTTAGATCCTAGAACAGATAAAGAATATTAATTAGAAAAAGTAAAAATCTGTAGATAACAGTAAGGTTCCAATCCTAATTTCTTAGTTTTGACAAATACACTGTGGTATGTTAGATGTTAGCATTCAGGGAAGCTGGGTGAAGGGGATACAGGAAATGTCTGGACAATTTTGCACTTTTTCTATAAATCTAAAGTAATTCCAAAGTAAAGTTTATTAAATGAAATGATCACAAAGCTTATGTATAATGAAAAACTTCTTACAAACGATGGTGAAGTAGAAAAAATAACAAGGATACAAGGTTGTAAATATGCTGGGACTTTAGTAGGAGTGTGAAATAATAGCGACAAAACCACCATCACCATCAACAACAAAAACATCAAAAAATTATCTTTGTCCAGAAAAAAAGACTAGAGGAAATATATTGAAATATATTACTATTTTGCAGTGAGACTCCATGATTTTTTCTCTCTACTTTTATGTTTTCTAAACTTTCCTTTTGGGATATGGATCACTTTTATAATGAAAACAAAATATCTCATTTTAAAAACATCTGCCGGTTAGTTTTCTCTATTTTTTTTTTCTTAAAAATTTTGGATAGAAAAATCTCCAAAGACAAAAATGGGCTGTAACTGCATTGCTGCTGATAGAGGGGAAGCTGGTTCAGATGATGAGTTATTAGGATTGTCCTTGGTCTTTGGAAAGCTGAAGTCTCTAATCAGTCCATCTGTTTGAGCGAGAAGCGGAATATTAAGAGTGGTACTAGCAAATTCCCATGCCTTTATGAATCTGCTTCTTTAGCTAGAAAAGGTCCTTTCAGCTCCAATTTGAGTGATTTTTCTATTGAAATGGCCCTCTGTGACTGTTTTCCCAAGGGGCTGGTATGTTGGGTCTGCATTTGTTCTGTACAGAGTGGCCTTTCTCGGGACTCTCAAGTTGGCTGTAGGTGGAGCTTCAGGACACATTAGTCTGTGACCCTCTGCAGATCCGCACTGACCCTTCATTGTTCTCTGTATCCTTTGGATTGTGTCTGTCAGGTGAACTCAGGCTTTGGAGATCTTCAACAAATACCCCCTTTGGTTTCTGAATTAATAAAGAACATCTATTTTCAGAAGCTCAGTTGCCTGGAAACTTCTTAGTCCTCCTCTTCATGAGACGGCCCCTATCACCTCACTTGCATCCCCACCCCCACCCTTGTAACTGGGAGTCCGGTTGTATGGATTCTAGTCTGGCCTTCAGGTGAATGCATATTTCCTTCCTACCCCATCTGTAAAATAAGTGGGATCCTACCTGCTCTGCATCTCAGATTGTGGTGGAGTTTTTTAAAATCACAGTTCTGTCCTAGTTCTAATGTTGTGTTTTGTGTGTTATTCAATCCCTTCATCTGTAGGACTGCCATTACGCTGTGGTTGGAGATGCTTTCAAGAAGTGCTATGTGAGTAAATTACACCCCAAACCAAAGACCTTTGGGCATTTTGAGAAGAGAGCAAAGATCTTCTGTGCCAGACAGAACTGTAGCCATGACTGGGGAATCCATGTGAAGTATAAGACATTTGAGATCCCAGTTATAAAAATAGAAAGCTTTGTGGTGGAGGATATTACAACTGGAGATCAGAAACTATATGCCAAGTGGAAGGATTTTCCTTTTGAGAAGAGATCCTTTGATGCTACAGAAATGTCCGAATGACCTCAGGACCTCAGTCTTTAGCTACAGGGAATGGATGACCTTGACTGAAGAAATTAGCCCCAGGGGGTACAGTCATGGATTGTGTGTACCACTGTGAAGCTACTTTACCCAAGCTTGTATCAAACGGAGTATGTCACTTAACTTCACCCTGTTTATTGTTTTCAGCAGTTTGAACTGTATCACATATGTAAAGCACAAGTGAATCACAGCACTAATACTCTGTAGGCCAATGGAGCTCTAAGTACTTGGGAAAAATTAAAAAGCCTTAACTTCTTTTCCTATCCTTCCTTTCACAACTGACTGCCAGTGTACACCCAGTAGCCACTCAGTACACACTGGAATGAATGAATGAATGAACAAATGAAATGTTGAAAGTGTTTCCACCATAAACTGACTTTTTTTTTTTTTTAAGATTTTATTTATTCATTTGACAGAGAGAGACACAGCAAGAGGGAACACAAGCAGGGGGAGTGGGAGAGGGAGAAGCAGGCTTCCCGCGGAGCAGGGAGCCCGACGCGGGGCTTGATCCCAGGACCCCGGGATCATGACCTGAGCTGAAGGCAGACGCTTAACGACTGAGCCTCCCAGCCGCCCCCATAAACTGACTTTTGCCCTTAGTATACTGAAATTGTTCTTAAGTCCTGTAAGACTGCCCCACCCCATCCCACTTCAGGCATCAGCTGCAAATCCAGGTAATCACCTGTGCCTCTCACTGACAGGCTATAGATCAGAGGTTCCCATGACCTCCTCCTTGAATTTGATTCATCTGCTAGAGTAGCTCACAGAACTCAGAGAAACATTGTATTTTCTTAATCACCGGTTTATTAGAAAAGGGTATAACTAAGGAACAGCCAGATGGAAGACATGCATAGGGCAAGGTGTGGGAAAGGACAAGGAGTTCCCACGTCCTCTCCAAATCTCCACCTGTTCACCAGGTAGAAGCTCTCCAAACCCTGTCCTTTGGGTTTTTATGGTGGCTTTATTATATAAGCATGACTGATCAAATCATTGGCCATTGGTGATAGATTCAACTTCCAGCTCCACTCCCCAGCTGTCAGGGGGTGGGACTGAGAATTCCAGCCCTAGAATCAGAGTTGGTTGTTCTGGCAACCAGCCCCATCCTTAGGTGTAGTCCAAAAGTCATGTCGTTAGCATAACAAGAGACACCTTTGTCCCTTGTGTCACTTAGGAAATTCCAAGGGTTGTAGGAGCTCAGTGCCAGAAATGGGGACGAAAGTCAAATATGTATTTATTATATAAATCACAGTCTCACAAGTGTCTCTTTTTATCTGTGATTGCCTTTTTTGGATGCTGTTGTTTCAGAACTCTAATAGGATGTTTAAAACACCTACTGGAGATTCGAGAAAAGTTCTTTCAAGTATCTAAATGGTGTCCAATTTGGATGAAGGTGAATAGTCCTCTCTTCAGCCAACAGAAGGCAGACTGAAGGTGAAACAAAAATATCTTAGAATTTCCTTATTGGATTTTTTGCCCCAAGTCAAGCCACTGCCAGGCATAGAGCCTGGAACAGAGTTAGGCACTCGGTTACTATTTACTGAATGAAAAAACCTGGTAGGTAGCGTTTTAAGAATGGCAAACTCTTGACTGATGCCTAAATGCTGGTCATTGGATTTCTCGGCCAAAAGCTATATGTCGGAACCAAGTGGGGAGTCTTTTTCATGGGCACATGCCCCACCCCATTAGGACATCCTGGCAGGGTGTCCAGCCATGGGTACTTTGTGAGGTTTCTCAGGTGGTTTAGATACAACCAATCACACACCCGCAGGACCTTGTTTCTCTATGGTTCCTGCCAGTGCTGACATGGTGATGGGTTTTTGACCGGAAATGAGAAGCTGCCTTCAGTCAAATGCCTGATTGTGTAATAAGGGCTGTAAACTCTGATTCCTGTCCTTACAACTGATACTACTACTTGAATTTCTTTAAAAAAATTTAAAAAAAATTTTTTTTTAAATTTAAATTCAATTTGGTTAACCTGTAGTGTATTATTAGTTTCAGAGGGTAAAACTGATATTATTACTTTAAAAGACAAACCATCAGGTCGGCATTTTCTCAAGCAAGTCCTGTGGAACACACACACTGTGAGATGCTCTAACGAAAACATTCTGTGGTCAAGACAGGCTCCTGAACCAAATGCTGCCAGCCCGCCCCTCAAATGAGTGAGTCATTCACACTTTAACGGTCATTGTGTGGCACTGTGTCAGTTCTGTGCTAACAAGACCCCTTGAACTCAGTGGTTCCCAAACACGCTGACCCTGGAACCCTGTTATTCACGGGACACCGCTCCCATCCTGTGGAAGCACCACAGCAGGTATGCAGCCCTGACGTGGACAGCCAGCCAGCCAGCCAGAGCCAAACCGGAATGATGTTAACTTCAGGACCATACCAGGTACTCTCGTATCATACCACGTAATAGAAGTACGCATTTCACGTAGCAAATCTGCACTTAATATGCAGGCCTCCGTTCTTGGGCTGCAAATTATTAAAACTATTAAAACTCTCAGCTATGGGGCGCCTGGGTGGCTCAGTCGTTGAGCGTCTGCCTTCGGCTCAGGTCATGATCCCGGGGTCCTGGGATCGAGTCCCGCATCGGGCTCCCTGCTCCGCGGGGAGCCTGCTTCTCCCTCTCTCACTGTGTCTCTCTCTGTCAAATAAATAAAATTAAAAAAAAAAAAACAACAAAAAACCCTCTCAGCTATAATTATATAATCTTTGTGATAATTAGGCTGTCTGGGTGAACAAAAACTACTTGGGTGTTAAATTCTGTTTGTGGTCATGACATTTGACAGCTTCCTCAGAAAGCAGCCAGGGAACCTTACTGTTTTTCTGGAAGTAAGTCTACATTGCTTCTACGTAACCCTGCCGGGTGCTCCGCTGTCCTCACATAGCCTTGAAAGGGAAACTGGGCCCAAAATATGGTTCTTCATTTTGGTGATTGGAAACTCCCAACTTTAGCTTAGAGAATACTGGGAGATAAATCTCTTAAGATCACAACTACTAACTCTTACCCCAGAGCTGCTGGTGGCCATATCCCCAGGCACATGGAGCAGCCCTAAAGAATGAGGTAAGACGAGAGGAGAAATGATAGGGAGGGAACCTGAGTTTGAGCCACTAGATCCAGTCAAGCCTACGGCTGTGGCCACCTCTGTTCTTCAAGTTCTATGAGCCAGTTATTATTAACATTTTTGCTTAACCAGTTTGAGTTGTGCTTCTAATAACACTATGAATCATGACTGCTACACCCTTACACTCTCACTCTCACCTACTAATGGCTGTCCCAGAGCCGAAGACACATGTGCTAAAATAAGTCTGTGGGTTAACATAGTGTGCACACCAAAGAATGCTTGGTTTCTTAGGAGGCGTAATGGATTTAGAAAACTGTTAACAAAGGAGATGAGACTCCCACGGAGAGGAAGGGGACTGGCAGGCACCTTGAGCAAGAAGCAAACATTTCGTTTGGAGTGAGAGGACTAGTGCCTTCTTGAGAAACTAGGCCTAAGGAGTTTATTTATTCAGTCTTGTTATGGGCCAGGGTGTGACACTGGGCAAGACATTTTATTAATGAACAGGATGGAGGGTGCATTTGGAGGTAGAGGAGTCCGGAAGCGTACTAGAAGTTATGGCCACAAGAATCTCTGTCTCCACATAACCACTGAGTATGAAGAGCTAGACAGCCCCCCAGAAGTGTAGTAATGAAGAGCTAAGGTGGTAGAGGTCTGTTTTCTCAGCCCTTCTTTGTGTTTCTGTGTTAGGACTGATCCTTATTTGAAGGTCATAGGCTTTTTTATACAACAAGGTTCTGTTTGTAATCTTTTTTTATGAACACAAGCTGGGTCCCAGGAACCTCAGGGGCAGGGATGCTCACTAACCTGTCTTGTCCCTCATCTTGGAAGAGGTAGAAACAGGACTCAGTCCTGGGTGTTCTGATGTCCAGGCCATACTCTCTGAGCGCTAAATTTGAGATTTTTAAAATTCATTACAAGGCGATCAACCTGTGAGCTCTAAGGTACCCTGTTATGAACTGCATGTTTTTTGTGTTCCCCCAAAATTCGTGTTGAAGCCCTAACCCCCAGTGCGTCTCTTTGGAGATAGGGCTTCTAAGGAAGTGTTTCAGGTTAAATAAGGTCGTAAGAGTGGGGCCCTGATCTGATAAAATCAGTGTCCTTACATGGCTCCAGAGAGCCAGCACCTCATCTCCTCACACACGCATTAAGGAAAGACAGGTAAGGGCACAGCAAGGGGGTGGCTGGCTGCAAGCCAGGAAAAAAGTTCTCACCAGAAAAGGAATTGCCTAGACACTGGATCTGGGACTTCTAGCCTCCAGAACTAGGAGAAAATATATTTTTGATGTTTGAGCTACCCAGTCTCTGGTATTTTGTTACGGTAGCGGGAGCAGACTAAGACATGCGCCCCAATATGATGTCAGTGATGAACATAAGCAGATTAACTATAGGGCACAAAAATAGAAAATGATGACCTGCTCACCATACTTACTGCTACTGCTACCTTCTTGTCTGCTCCCAACCGGGGCAGAGGAATCCTGTTTCTCAGCTCTTCCATGTCCCCCCGTATGGTACGGCTGTGGTTGTAAAAGCGGAACTTGAAGGTCACCCGATGCTACAGTCTGAGACTCGCTCTGCTCGAAATATCCCCAGACTAGAGCCTCACACACATTACACAATTCAAGTCCAAAGTCAACAAGCTTTCCTTGAAAATAGATTTAATCTTCCTCAAATTACAAATGTTCTAAGTCTCTCTCCAAAACCACCTCCAAAGTTCTCCTCTTGACAAATGAATTTTCTGGGGAAAAGTTTTGAGGAGAGTAAAAGAAGAAAACATCACATTTTTTTTTAGTGTTGATCCATCTAAAGGTACATAATCAAAAAATGTCAGTGTCTGACCTGTCCACAAGGTGTCTGGATCATTCCTTCCGAAGGAAAAAGGCAGAGGGGAGAATCACAATCACCGCTGTGATTTGAGAACATTTTTATCTACCATGTCAGTTAACACTGGTAATAATATGCAAAGACCAGTGGCCCTCAAGGGAAGGTTTCATGGAGCAGAGGATAACAGAGAGGAACAGAAACGAGGACAGGGGATGCCTTCTGAGAAGACTTATTTGTGTCCAGCTGTTCATAACAGGCCAAGAGTGAAAAATCGACATTCTGTGATCAGTGACTTTACAGACAAGCTCAAGTTCTCTCTTTCTGGCACTACTGACATTCCCACCATTCTAGCTTCCAAATTCTAGAAAAAGAGAAAA